TATGCCTGAGTGTCCAGTCCAATTGCTGGGACGTGATATGCTATCAAAATTACAAGCGCAGATTACGTTCCTACCAAATGGAACAACATCCTTAAAGTTTAATGGACCCTCAGGTATTATGACATTGTCCGTACCAAAGGAAGAAGAGTGGCGACTTTATACAGTGTTGACTAGCCAAAGCCCGAGGAGTGATGAATCCTTATTTAACATACCAGGAGTTTGGGCAGAGAACAACCCACCAGGACTGGCCCGCAATATTCCACCTATTAAAATCGAACTAAAACTTGGGTTTTATCCAGTAAGCCTGAGACAATATCATATTCCGCAGAAGGCTAAGAAGAACATCCAATCTTATCTGGATAAGTTCATACGGTATGGTATCCTAAATTTCTGTACTTCCCCCTGGAACACCCCATTGCTGCCTGTTCAAAAGCCCGGTACAGATGAGTATCGACCTGTGCAGGACTTGAGAGCAGTCAATGATGCGGTTGTTAGTATACATCCAGTCGTGCCCAATCCATATAACCTGCTTGCTTTAATTCCGGGCGGGGCTACTTACTTTACAGTCTTAGATCTCAAAGATACCTTCTTTTGCCTCCGAATTGCCGCAGAAAGCCAATGTATCTTCGCTTTCCAATGGGAAAATGCTGTAACGGGCTCGAAACGCCAAATGACCTGGACAAGATTGCCCCAGGGGTTTAAAAATTCACCTACCCTATTTGGTTCAGCTCTAAGTCAAGATCTACTAGATTTCGAGTCTATCCCAGGAAAGTGTGTATTATTACAATATGTAGATGACTTGTTGATAGCAGCAGTTACAAAGGAAGTATGTCAGCAAGCAACGCACGATCTACTACACATTCTCTGGAAGGCAGGATACAAGGTGTCAAGAAGGAAGGCTCAGTTGTGTTTGCCAACTGTCAAATATCTGGGATTCCATATCTCTGAAGGTCAAAGAATTATGGGGCCAGAGAGAAAAGAAGCTGTGTGTCAAATACCGATACCCAGGAATAGAAGACAAGTACGAGAATTCTTGGGGGCAGCAGGCTTCTGTAGGATATGGATTCCCAGCTACGCGATACTGGCAAAACCTCTGTATGCAGCTATCAAAGGTACAGAGCACGACCCCTTCTTATGGACTCAAGAACAGCAAACGGCATTCGAAGATGTGAAGAGGGCTTTGATGAGTGCCCCAGCATTAGGTCTACCTGACCACACACGACCATTCTACCTGTATGTACATGAGCAAAGAAGAATGGCTGTGGGAGTATTGACACAGTACTTGGGATCATGGCAAAGACCTGTTGCCTACATGTCTAAGCAACTAGATGCAGTGGCCAGCGGACTTCCACCTTGTCTAAGAGCTGTAGCTGCAGCCGCCCTGCTAGTAGCTGAAGCCGATAAACTCACTCTGGGTCAAGAACTTTATGTACGAGTTCCACATGCAGTACAGACGTTGTTGGATTACAAAGGAAATCATTGGTTTAGTAACAGCCATATGACCAAGTATCAAGCAATGTTGTGTGAAAACCCAAGAGTGCATTTAGAGATTGTAAATACCTTAAATCCAGCTACCCTTTTGCCACAACCTACTGAAAGTCAACATGATTGTTTGGAAGTAATGGATGAAGTATTTTCAAGTAGACCAGATCTTCGTGATTTTCCCATCCAGAACCCTGATGTTCAATATTACACCGACGGCAGTAGTTATGTAAAAGAAGGGATCCGCTATGCAGGATATGCAGTAACAGCGATAGACAAGGTGATAGAAGCTCGGCCACTGGCAAAAGGAACATCAGCACAAAAGGCAGAATTGATAGCACTGACACGAGCGTTACAATTGGCTGAAGGTTTAAGAGTGAACATCTACACGGACTCCAAGTATGCGTTTTTAACCACTCATACCCACGGAGCTTTGTATAAAGAAAGAGGACTATTGAATTCAGAAGGCAAAGAAATCAAATACGCAGCTGAGATCCTACAACTATTGGAAGCAGTGTGGGAGCCGAAAGAAGTCGGTATTATACATTGTCGGGCGCATCTGAGAGGAGATGGTGATGTAACCAAAGGGAATCGGATGGCAGATAGTGCAGCTAAGCGTGCTGCTGGATCAGGAAGACAGGAATATGTGGGGCATATAGCTGCTCTTATACCAACTCCACTGTCTCAATGGATTCCAATTTATACAGCTCAAGAAGAGGAGTGGTTAAGGACTGAACCTGGAAAGTATTTGGAGAACAAATGGTATCAGTTAGAAGATGGAAGAATAGTTATTCCAGCATCACTAGCGGTAGAAATTGTCCAAAACTATCATAGCGGGACACATTCTGGGAGAGACAGTACAGAAGAATCTCTCAGAAAACATTTCTACATACCAAGATTGTCCAACTTGACTCAGGCCATTGTACGTAGATGTGTAGCGTGTGCTAAAAATAATGCAAGACAAGGACCAGTAAAGCCACCAGGAGTCCAGTTTATGGGGGACTTCCCATGTCCGATTTACAAATTGACTATACAGTGATGCCTAAATCGGGTGGACATCGCTACCTGCTGGTAGTGGTGTGCACCTATTCAGGCTGGGTAGAAGCATGTCCTACTCGTACAGAGAAAGCAGGAGAAGTCGTGAGATTCCTGCTACGAGAAATAATACCCGATATGGACTACCCTGCTCTATAGGATCGGACAATGGTCCAGCTTTTGTTCATCAGTGCCTACAACAATTGACTCATATGCTTGGTATAAAGTGGAGGCTTCATACGGCATATAGACCCCAGAGTTCTGGTAAGGTAGAGAGAATGAATAGAACTATTAAGAACCAGTTGGCTAAAATGTGTCAGGAAACCCAACTTAAGTGGAACGTTCTCTTGCCCATAGCTCTATTGCGAATCCGTAGTACACCTACCAGAAGGATGGGCCTCTCTCCTTTGAAATCATGTACGGGCGACCACCTCCCGTGCTTGGTAACTTAAGGGGGGATTTGAGTCAGTTGGGAGAAGGAATTACCCGGCAGCAGGTTGTAGAGTTGGGTAAGACTATGGAGGAGGTACAGAAATGGGTACAAGATAGATTACCTGTGAATATTTATCCCCCAATTCATAGTTACCACCCAGGCGACCAAGTGTGGATTAAAGAGTGGAATAATGTGCCGTTAGGGCCCAAGTGGAGAGGTCCTTATGTTGTTCTTCTGTCTACCCCTACAGCGATAAAAGTAGCCGAAGTGGCTCCGTGGATACATCACTCCAGGGTTAAACCAGCAGCAGCCGATTCCTGGCAAGTTACAGCAAATCCAGAGAATCCCTGCAAGATCCGGTTAAAACGCACGACTCAGTCGGAGTGACGAGGAACCTTGTAGATTACAAATTTTATTGTTTCAGAGACTTGGTAAGTGAGTGAGAAGGCCATAATAAAGCCTGTCCACTCACCAACGAGTGTATAAGTCAGGGAAAGTCTTGAGGGGACCCCTGTGAAGACGAGCAGAACTCCATTCCCTGCAGTCCTTACATCCTGGAAGCTGAGGTGCCTTCACACGGACGAAGACTGAGGATGACGACGAAAGATGTATTTTTAATAATGTTTATTTATGTGTATTTTTATATTCAGGAAGGTAGAGGTACCAACACTCCTAGCTGTGAGGTATGCATTAAGACTACAAGAACAGGTAACCATATATCCCAGACCCTAATTTGGCATTCGCAATATGAGTGTAAAGGAGATGTATCAAGATGTAGATACTTAAATATAGAATATAGTGTGTGTCATTTAGGAGTAGGAGAACCTAAGTGCTTCAGTCCTGAGTATCAACCCCGTACAATTTGGTTGACTCTCAGAAATGGAGATTCTCAGGGGACCCTAATTAATAAGACGGTATTAAAATCCGTATATTCTTCAGGTGCTCTGCTATTTGATGCGTGTAAAGCAATATCAAGTGGTAGAAAGCCGTGGAATGTATGTGGGGATCTTAGATGGGAGAGGACGTATGGGTCTAACGATAAATATATTTGTCCCAGTAGTAAAAATAAATATGTAAGTCCAAGATGCCCAAATAGAGATTATAACTTCTGCCCATATTGGTCTTGTGTGGGGTGGGCGACTTGGGGACAGACAGCAGACAAGGACATGATTGTGACTAAGTTGCCTACTAATCCATATTGTAAGTCTATGGAATGCAATCCAATCCATATACTTATAAATAACCCTGACAAGTTCTTAGATAAATATGGTAATTTATTTGGGTTTCAAATATATGGGACGGGTTTAGACCCTGGGACAATATTGTTTATAGGGATAGAGACTGATACGGTAACCTCCCAAACTCATCAAGTATACCATTCCTTTTATGAAGAGATGAGCATAGATAATAAGATCCCCCATAATGCTAAAAACTTGTTCATTGATTTAGCCGAGAGTATTGCCGGTAGTCTTAATGTTACCAACTGCTATGTGTGTGGAGGTACTAACATGGGAGACCAATGGCCTTGGGAAGCAAAGGAGGTAATGTCCGGTTCTGAGGCAGTTGACCAATTAATATCTACACAAGCCGACTATCATATGAGTGTTAGAGGTAAATCTGAGTGGAGATTGAAGACCTCCATCATAGGTTATGTTTGCATAGCGAGGAAAGGAATGATGTATAATACTTCTGTAGGAGAATTAACTTGTCTAGGGCAAAAAGCTTATGATGATGATACAAAGAATACAACTTGGTGGTCGGCTTCAAATGTCTCAGAACCATCTAACCCGTTTGCAAGATATGCCAATTTAAAGGACGTATGGTTTGATCTATCCATCACATCTAACTGGAGAGCCCCAGCGAATTTGTACTGGATCTGTGGTAAGAAGGCCTATTCGGAGTTACCACAGGACTGGGAAGGGGCATGTGTGTTGGGTATGTTAAAACCATCCTTCTTCTTGTTGCCTATTGAAACAGGTGAGACTTTAGGTGTTAAAGTGTATGATGTGAATCATAGGTAGAGATTGAAACAGGTGAGATTAGGTGCATAGGAAGAAAAGGGGACCCATAGAGATAGGTGCCTGGGAAGATAATGAATGGCCTCCCCAGCGTATTATAGATTATTATGGGCCAGCCACGTGGGCAGAGGATGGTACCTTTGGTTATAGAACCCCTATTTATATGCTCAACCGCATTATAAGGTTACAGGCGGTGGTTGAGATCATTACTAACGAGACATCACAAGCGCTCAATCTTCTAGCGAAGCATAATACCAGGATGAGGACAGCAGTTTACCAAAATAGATTAGCCTTGGATTATCTTTTGGCAGTAGAGGGAGGTGTATGTGGGAAGTTTAACCTGAGCAATTGCTGTCTTCAAATAGATGACGAAGGGCAAGCAATAGCTGAGCTTACTAGCCATATGGTTAAACTAGCGCATGTGCCTACTCAGGTATGGAAAGGGTACAATCCAAGTAGTTGGTTTGGTAGCTGGTATGAGTGGTTTGGAGGGCTTAAGGCAGTGGTAGGTGGAGTCCTACTGATTTTAATGTTGTGTCTACTCCTGCCGTGTCTTATACCCTTAGTAGTTAGGTCTGTGCAAAGCCTGATAGAAAATATAGCAGAGAGGAAGGCTGCTGCACAGATAATGGCAATTTATAAATATAAGGCTCTAGATCAGGGAGAACCAATGCAGGAAGACGAGTGTTGAAGATTCACATCATAGGATAAGTCTGGTCTGGTTCAAAGGTAACTTGTGGTGTATGCAAACCAAGGTTAAGTGATGCCTCAAGTAATTGTAAAATATCAAGAGGCATCAAAGGGGGGAATGTGGTGGAATCTCGGTAAAAATAAATTTAGTAGGCCGAGATTACCACGTGGCATGTGTACGTGCATATGCTGACGTATCGATCAGTTGGTTGCACGAGGCAAGATACGATCAGTAGTGTACGGAGCATGTGCAAGAATACAGGATGTAGTATTCCCCTCCTCCATTGTGCTGGACAAGCCATGCGGTCAAGCAGGAAGTTAATTCTTATTTGTAATGATTGGTCAAGAGAATGTGCGGGTGGAGCTTAATATGGGAGGAGTTATGTGCCTATATAGGGAGCCTGCACTATTGTTCAGGGCTCAGAACTTGCTGTATTTTTGGTGACATTAGTCCCTCTGAGTCCCGATCGGTGATCCAATAAAGAATCTCTTCCTTCCTGAAGAAACCTGTGTCCATCCCTCTGTGCTTTGCTTCCGTCAGTTTCCCCGGTATCAGTTGGACATAATGTGTCTCTGTTTCCCAGTTGAGTAATTTTGGCCCAGAATGCTCAGCTCTCTGGGTGATTCTGTACAGTCTGTGGTTTATTGAATGACTCTGGTATTTACTGGTATCTCTCACAGTAATAATGTATCCAATCAGGCACTGTGAGGGGCAGCCCCGTCACTGGAGGAAGGACCCCGCGTTACTAGTGAAACGCACACCTGTCCCACGCCTCGTTCTGGGATTTATAACCCGCGTGTCCGCATGCTGTGCCTCTATTGGCTGGCGGTGCCCAGGGGGCGGGGTTGTAGTGCTGACGTCACGCTCGCCCTCTGCCATTGACCCTGTCAGTGTCGGTGGAGGATGTTGGGATCGCTGGGGAGGAGCGGCCTGCGCTCATTGGCTGGTAGGTAACACGGGGCCCCTGGGAGCCAAGGGCCACACACAGCCCACTCCCCCGCCGCCCCCTACACTGACATGACTACAACTCCCATGATGCTCAGCTAGAATGGCCTCACACTGCTGCTGGCTGGGGATCATGGGAGTTGTAGTCTGCAGGACTACTACTCCCATCATGGTTTAATCAGCCATAAAGGATCATGGGAGTTGTAGTTTGCATTACTGCAGGACTACTACTCCCATCATGGTTTAATCAGCCATAAAGGATCATGGGAGTTGTAGTTTGCTTTACTGCAGGACTACTACTCCCATCATGGTTTAATCAGCCATAAAGGATCATGGGAGTTGTAGTTTGCTTTACTGCAGGACTACTACTCCCATCATGGTTTAATCAGCCATAAAGGATCATGGGAGTTGTAGTTTGCATTACTGCAGGACTACTACTCCCATCATGGTCCAATCAGCCATAAAGGATCATGGGAGTTGTAATTTGCTTTACTGCAGGACTACTACTCCCATCATGGTTTAATCAGCCATAAAGGATCATGGGAGTTGTAGTTTGCATTACTGTAGGACTACTACTCCCATCATGGTTTAATCAGCCATAAAGGATCCTGTGAGTTGTAGTTTGCATTACTGTAGGACTACTACTCCCATCATGGTTTAATCAGCCATAAAGGATCCTGGCAGTTGTAGTTTATCTGCTTTCTCTTATCAGTGAGTAGCAGGGACCCCTGTCCAGCTGCATTGTTTGGGAGGAGAGCCCTTGCTATAATGAGTATTGTGGGATAGACAGGTCTATAGAACAGGTGTGGGTCCCTGGAGCATTGGATATATAATCTTTTTATTGTTACGGTGGATTCCTTGTCCTAATTCACACATTTATTTCAGTTTGAATATCTTTACGTCTGTATAAAGATTATATTTCAAAATTCCTACAATGGCAGCTAAGAAACCAGTGATTTATTTCATTTCTCTGAATAATCCTAATGTTTTGTGTAAATATTTATTTTCTAGATTTTAAACATAAATTTCAGGATTCTTTCAAGTAGCCAGGAAGACATGTAAGTGTTTAGATGTTTCACATAAAAAATTCTAAAATCTAATTTCCCTGATAAATTCTGACCATTAAATATTGGCTGAAGTGATAGCGGAGAGACTTGGCCCATTGCTGGTTTCCCCCATTCTCCCAAACCAGGCTGGCTTTGTACAGTGACAGCCGATTTTCTATGAGAATACCAGATGTAGTCTTGAGTTTATCTGGAGATTAGCTACCTAGTTAACGCCTTCTCTGACCTGTGTTTGAATGCAGAGATGGAGCTCATTGTCCTTCTTCCAACTGTATCAGCAGTTTGCTTTCCCACTATTATTCCAGCAGTCAAAGCTCTATATTCCTCCCCTAGAGCTCAGACAATATTCCAGGGAAGTGAAGCAACCTTTGTTGGGTGATGAAACAAGGCAAGGCTGCCCGCTGTCACCAGTTCTGTTTGTGATGACCTTGGAGCCAGTCTTACACGCAATAAGAACCCCTCCCCACCGCCAGAGTAGAGGAAATGGTGTCTATAAGGGGTCCGCTTGTACGGACAATATTATACGGACAATATGAAATCCAATCTTTTCCAATGTACAACTCCACAAGATGCTGGTCTATTACGGGGGAGCTGTCGGGATATAAGGTCAATACGGAGAAATTAGTGGCTATGTCCCTCATCCTCTTGGCTTCAGACACGGCTCAGATTGAAGCACAGTACTACCTGCCAATCACTAGGAACTCATTTAAATATCTAGGAGTACAACTCACGGCCGATCCCTCCAAGATAATAGAGAACAACTATAATTTTCCGCATGGATTGGTCTTCCCAAAAGCCGTATTGCCCCGCTACAGTCTGTAATGAATGCTGCCGCCAGACTGATTCTCCTCTCTAGTCGCTCCTCTCACACCTCTCCTCTCTGTCATTCCTTACATTGGCTTCCTGTATCCCATAGGAGTCAATTTAAAGTGCTAACCCATACATATAAAGCACTGAGCAATTCTAGCCCCTCCTATATCTCTTCATAGAGACATAGGGATGCCCCTTCTCGGTCTTTCCGATCTGCCCATGACCACCTCCTGACCGCTGCTTGCACTCGTACAGGCAACTCGCCAACTTAAGAAGTGCCCTAAACCCATCTCTTTAGGAAAGCTTATGGCCCCCCAGAGTAACCTCTACCTCACATACCTGTCTCTTGCTCTCTCCTAAAGGGCAGCACTTTACTCTCTCCTCCAGCTCTGCTTCACTCCCACCTTATTTGATTCCTATTTCCTGTCCTAATCTGTTTTACACCCCACATCCTATAGACTGTAAGCTCGTTTGAGCAGGGTCCTCTTCAACCTATCGTTCCTGTATGTTTTCTTGTAATTGTCCTATTTATAGTTACACCCCCCTCTCATAATATTGTAAAGCACTAGAGAATCTGTAAACTGTGCTGTGTAGATCGGTGGGAGGGTGACCTGGGGGATGTCTTTATTCCCTTGCCTCGCTCTGCCTGTCTGAGACCCTTGCTCTCCATGTCAGTATGGACATATAGGTTTGGAGCCTGAACCCATACCTTCTCCTTTCCACGCCAGTCACTGATTTGGTCTCTCGTAGATTGCTAATTATATCTGTTTTGCCCCTCTGGTATATCCTTTTGGGCTGTTTTCCACCCCCTCTTTTTTTTTAATACCGCTTTCCTTAAACTTCAGTGTTTTTGTGCCACCACGCTAGGCTTGGAAGGAGAATCAGGATTCAGAGTCAAATATTCCCTCGTCCTTTGCACTTACTGATCTTGATGACTGTAGTTGTTAGTTTCCCTGTTCCCAGATAATTCTTGGTTAATTCACTTACCAGGCGTCTGGCAACAGATGGCGATGCGTAATTACATTATCCTGAGAGGACGTGGGGAGACCACATAGTGGATTATTCGGCAAGCAGAGGCCGTGCTTACCGTACATAGGGGTGTATGTGTGGCTCTATTAATGGAATTATCAATAGACCACCCCTAATTTAAAGATGGTTTTATGCTGCGGTTCATTAAATTTTCAAATTGCTACATTTATCATAAAAGCACATTCATACTGTGCAAACACACAATGGCCAGATTTGTCTTGAAATTGTTACAGTATGTACACTATTGTGAATAACTATGACTATGCACCCTAACACAGTGTTACATAATCCCTCCAAGCAGGTCTGTCCGCGTTAAACTTGACGTGTAGAAGGCTGTATCTCTAAATCACATCCGCTTTAGGACTTCCCCGTCCTCCCCCCAATACTAATAGCCTGTATTAAGGTCAGGGCTATTTTACTTTATGGATATTCTTTCTGAATTCTGCACAGGAGGCTCGGTTAATGTTAAGTAGCTGTCACTTATTCTCACCGCTCCAGAACCTAGCTATCAATCATTACCCGTCTTAATGGTGTAGAAAGGAAGTGAAGCCCATTACCCAGACATTAAATAAAAATGGGAAATGTACAGTGACTCTTATTGTGTGATTTAGAAAGTACTAGTTGATGTTTTGCTTCTTCCAGGGAGAGCCGCTCTGCTGAATGGAGGAGCTGGTTCTTTCCCAAGACAGCTGGGGGTCCAGGACCTCGCAGCCAAGAGGTTTTTGTGTAGTAAACCGGAAGAGGTCCAACCCAAGGATCCTGGTGAGTGAAACAAATGTTTTGGTGAAATGACGCAGTGGGTGGGACCTGCTTGACCATTGGTAACCCACCTGTCAATCGCCGTTTCTCTGTAATCCTAGACACTAGTTACTGCTTTGTCCCATCAGTCAGTTTTTCTCTGTTTGCCGACTGTGTATTGTTCTTCTCATGGAGGGTTTAGCTCATGGGATAGCTCTTTTTCACAGACCTGTTTCTGTCTTTTCCTCCTTAGTCTGAGCATGCAATAAGCTCACTGACCGTCTATTAATTATTCGGTCCTCACCAACACACCGGTCTTCTCTTTCTTCAAGGTGTCTCCTTCAAGGTACCTGGACACAGGCCGTCTGGCTTTGAGAAGAAGATCCTGATCTGGGGAGGACGTTTCAAGAAACAGGAGGACATTCCTGAAATCGTTTCGTGAGTTACCCATTCCGGAGAGCCCTACACAGAGAGAGAGGAGTGTTGTGGGAGTGGGAGTCTGCCTCAGTATGCATGATCAGAATCTTAGATCTTAGAGGTTTATATCCAGATATCGCTTCCATAGCTGTTACACATGAGGCAGATTTTTAGTAAAAACCAAAAAAGGGTTTTGTATTTTAATTGTATTTTGGTCTCTCCCTTCCATCTAGCTACGATATGGTGGATGCAGCAAAAAGCAAGGTGCGGGTGAAATTTGCCGTTCTCATGATGGCGATGACTATTTTTGGCTGTATCATCATGGTGATATTGGGGAAGCAGGTGCGTGTATGCGTGTGTATATATACCATATTCCTGTATTGATCACTACGCTAAGTGCATACTACGCATTAAGCACACAGGACAAATACAATTTATTCTAGAGTCTAAAATCTAAGGAACATTGTAGAATGTGCTGGCTATGACTAATGAATTGTTTAGGTGGACTGGCTTTATTTATATTTATTGCACCATCGTAAGGTGTCGCAGTGGGAGGAGCCACCATGAGGTGGGCAGTGCTTGGGATTGAAGAATTGGTAGAATACTTTATTTCTTGTATTGTACCTTTCTTTTTGGGCTGTTTTTTTTGGATTTATTTCTATTTACTAAATTGATGTTAAAATGGTAGCTCGCCTCATGATTGTAAAACGAAATAAATAAAAAAAAAATTGGCATTGAGTGGCCTTATGAAAGAAGCACCTAGGTTAATATCCCGAGTTATTGGCTTTTTAAAACCATAATTTGAATGGTTCTGTATAGTTTAAAGTGAGCAATCCCAGTCCCCAAACGTAGTAACGTAATCCTTCGCCGTAATGCCGCGATATGTGACTTTGTTTTGGGTACTGTGAGTTCAAGGTTTGTCCTAGTAATCATTTATCTCTTTATATAAAACACCCAAATCTTCCAGCTGCAGTGTTTTAATTCCTGTTAAACTGTGTCTTGTAAAGATACGGCTTCTGTTTGAACTAGTTATTTGTCCAGTGGGTCCATGAATAACTTCTTTTTCGATGGACACTGTGGGGGTGTCTATATTTAGCACGCCGCCTGTTTAACCATCTTTCTTGGCGCTGAGCTGCTTTCAGGAAGTGACCACGCTCCACAGGGGGATTATAATAAGGCAGTTATATTATTATTTTCCTTTTTTAGTATTCTGAAAAGACTTGCCATATACAGCTAAGTCTTTAATAAAGAAATCTTCATTAACCCTTTGTGTGGGTGGTAGGCTACTTGGAATAGGTTACGGTAAAAGGAACAGTCAGAGCACGCTGTACTGTTTATGGTGCCCTAGGCATGCCCCCATTGTAAGAAGGCAAACACAGTAGTGGTAGTGAAAAAGAGATTTAAGTTTGGAGAAACTCCAGCCCTCCAGATGTTGCTGAACTAGAACTCCCATGATTCTATGAATGAAATAGGCTGAGAATCTTGGGAGTTGTAGTTCAGCAACATCTGGAGGGCCGGAGTTTGTAGAAGCCTGCTTTAAGGCAACCAATAGCTTCCATTCACAAAAAAGGTATCTTACGTGTTAGAACCTGGATGCCGATGGGGGCAGATGGAGCGCCAGCTTTGGTTTAACCCCTACAGGGATGCAGGGACCTCCTAGCATCATAGTGTTTATTTAATCATTCTCCCTCCCATTACCACGTGTCTGTTATTCAAATTAATTTTTCTTCCTTGTGCTGGATCCCAATACCTGGCTGCAGCCATTTTGTCCTCCTCTGCCATGATGTTTGCCTTTTGATCTATTGATTTCAGTAGTTCCTACTTTTCTTTATGTATTTTATGAAAACTATTGTCAGAAAAAACATAGCGATTCAGACACCTGGAGCTCTAGAATCACATCTGATAAATGTAAAGGTAGGTACTGAGCATGACACTGTCTAGAATCTCTCATTGCACTCGGGGTTCTTAGTGCTGTTGGCTTGTTTCTGCATGGTTCGCGGCACAGTGCCGTCTGTGTTCCTCCACCAGGCTGGCTGTTTCCTGACTGATAAAACGTTCTTTCCCTCACAGGCGGCAGGTCGGCACGAGTCGCTGGCCAACATTAACCTGGAGAAGAAAGCCCGGCTTCGAGAGGAAGCTCTGAAAGAGCAGGCCAAACCCTAAAGAAGCACAAACACGGATTATAAATGGACCCACCCCGCTATCACAGAGCTGTAGATTTTTACATTGTGAGATTTTAGTAATATATAGTTAGCGCTGATGGCACCGCGTCTGACAACGTCTCTGATCTGACGTCTCGTTGGTGGGGAGGAGGATGCCCTTTCATCTTATTTTAACTTCCTCCCTTCCAAAGGGGCTCGGTGTTCAGTGTTTCACCAAGAGCAACATTCATCCAGGTTCCACGATATAATAAAGTCTTCGCTTGTGAAAAGTACATTTTGTTTCATTCACAAAAAACTAAATTTCTAATAAAAATCTTTCTTTAATGCTGCTTGGCTGTACAATTCCCATTTATCTTTGTAGAAGGCATCACTTTATATTTTTGATTACTAGACTAAATAGGAAACAAAACTAGTGATTTTCTTGCTTGAAAGGGTCAACTTTGTAGCTTTTTGTTATTTTAAATGGTATTGTTTGTGTGAGGGTCACGTGACCTGGATTTGTGACTTCTAAAATCCCGTCCTGTTCAACTAACCTGGAAAGGAAAAACCAGTACATGCTGGGAAGTGTATTAAAGGGGAAGCATATTATCCTGGTAAATACTAGTTGTGCAATTTTTAGTCGTCGTCCTCCCTTTCTCCTCAGCATCACAGATATTCTACCATTACACATTTGGTGTAAACCTAAACTCAAGATATGCTTTTACCAAATCTGGGTATTTTCATTCTGCTCCATACTCCTTTTTATTTTTTATATTTATAAAATATATTTCACCAGGATGATCATGAGTCTTTTTGTCACAGGGAGATTGGTTTGTAAATAGCCAGATTATAACCGTAAGACTGTTTGTCACCTGAAGGAAAGAGTAGGGTTTTACACGGATCGAATCGTTATATTCTGTTTGTAAAATGATAAACACGTTCTTTAGACATTAAGCACTTCGGAAAGCCAAATTACTTTGTGTCTGGGACCAGGGTGGTGCAGTAGACATTGCTTACCTAGATGTCAGTAAGGCTTTTGACACTGTTGCACATAGAAGGCTTATCAAATAACTGCAATCTTTAAGTTTGGATTCCAATATTGTTGAATGGGTAAGGCAGTGGCTGAGTGACAGGCAACAGAGGGTTGTAGTTAATGGAATATATCCGAAGCTTGGACTTGTCACCAGTGGGGTACCTCAGGGATCTGTACTTAGACCCAGTCTCTTTAATATTTTTATTGGTGATATTGCAGAAGGTCTTGATGGTAAGGTATGTCTTTTTGCTGATGATACTAAGATATGTAACAGGGTTGATGTTCCAGGAGGGATAAGCCAAATGGCAAATGATTTAGGTAAACTAGAAAAATGGTAAGAGTTGTGGCAACTGACATTTAATGTGGATAAGTGCAAGATAATACATCTTGGATGTAAAAACCCAAGGGCAGAGTACAGAATATTTGATAGAGTCCTAACTGCAACATCCATGAAAGGGATTTAGGGGTGATTATTTCTGATGACTTAAAGGTAGGCAGACAATGTAATAGAGCAGCAGGAAGTGCTAGCAGAATGTTTGGTTGTATAGGGAGAGGTATTAGCAGTAGAAAGAGGGAAGTGCTCATGCCATTGTACAGAACACTGGTGAGACCTCACTTGGAGTATTGTACACAGTACTGGAGACCGTATCTTCAGAAGGATATTGATACCTTAGAGAGGGTTCAGAGAAGGGCTACTAAACTGGTTCATGGATTGCGGGATAAAACTTACCAGGAAAGGTTAAAGGATCTTAACATGTATAGCTTGGAGGAAAGACGAGACAGGGGGGATATGATAGAAACATTTAAATATATAAAGGGAATCAACACAGTAAAGGAGGAGACTATATTTAAAAGAAGAAAAACTACCACAACAAGAGGACATAGTCTTAAATTAGAGGGACAAAGGTTTAAAAATAATATCAGGAAGTATTACTTTACTGAGAGGGTAGTGGATGCATGGAATAGCCTTCCAGCTGAAGTGGTAGAGGTTAACACAGTAAAGGAGTTTAAGCATGCGTGGGATAGGCATAAGGCTATCCTAACTATAAGATAAGGCCAGGGACTAATGAAAGTATTTAGAAAATTGGGCAGACTAGATGGGCTGAATGGTTCTTATCTGCCGTCACATTCTATGTTTCTATGGAGTGTCCCTCTTAGGGTAGGGGTGTAGCCCCTCTGGATGTTAGCAGAGGCATTGAATCCCCCAATAAACCTTTGGCTGAATATTAAAAATCAGACAGATCTCTCTAGAAGTGCAAATACAGGCGGAAACACAAATAAAAAGCAATCAGACCCATGTGAATGTTACTGCTGTTCCCGGGTTCCGTATAGAATGCTGCCCTCTAGTGGAGAGAACATATTAATTCTGTCTGTTATTTTTCACATGTGTTTGGAGCATTGCTGATGTGCTGACCATAGATGTAAGTTCAGCTTTGGGATTGCTGTACGTACTGAATGTAGAGGGTGCTGTGAACTGTAATGAAAGTCATGCATCCAGTATGCTTTTTTTAATTTTTCTCTTTAAAAATATATGTGTGTTCATATAAATAGCTTTGAGTGCCGAAACGCGCGTCAGGGGCCTGTACCTGGCGTTATCCTTTCTTTCCCACTGCACCATCAGTGTCTTTATATTTGTTTCATCCCTGCCACTTTGGCTGGTGGGGTTCCGTTTAGGAGCATTATCGGCATCGATCTATCTATATTTTAGGGCACATACACCACTATTGGGGGTGGGCATACTGTCGACAAGAATTAGTAGCTATTAGGCTTTTTGGGTTAAGGGGTGCCCTCGAAGGCACAAGTGGCTAAGGCTGGAGTATAGCTACCTAGTGCTTAGTAATTTCCCCCTGCCATATTTATCGTCTGTTACCTTTCTCCTTTATATGTGTCAGATCTTTGACCCAGGTTATAATACTTTATCTATCCTACAGCTCTGTCCGTTATACTGACGTGGTAATTACACCATACTATTTAAGCCTTAAAATCGGACAGGCTCTCACTTTAACATCAGATTGTATCCTGTGAGGTCAATTTTGTCCGTCTCACTGATTTATTTGTGATCACACCATATTATTTTAGCCACTAATCCTGACAGGATTCCACTTTGACACTAGATCGTATCCTGTGATGCCAATATATCCACACAACTTAGTATCAAGTAGTGTGTGTGGTAACCTACTTTGCAACATCACTAAAACTTCTTTTTAACACTTTGCAATTATTAGTCGTAAGTCTCCACGTGGGACTATCTCCAGACTGCTCCTGGAGGTGCCGTTGTTCGGCTATATATAGGCATAGCTGTTTTGGTGGGCAATTGAATCCACTATTATCTGTCTTTTTAGTTTAGTTATTATTAAAAGCTACGTTTTATATTTGGGATTGCGTTATTAGGCACTAACTGTTCCCGATACTATTTCCCTTCTCTTAAAGGGAAATCCACTCTATTAGGACTATTGGTATTAGTCTGTCCTACCTTTCTCCTTCTTTTCTTTCTTTAGTTTTGTATTTGTGGTGAAGTTATTCACTAGGAGATATTAATCCATATCCCCCCCTTTCCCTTGTTTTTTTTTTTTTTGATATTCATATAAATAGTGGTTTGTTTTTTGGGGGGGGATAATTTTGAAGTTGACAATGAACATTTGTACATGGTATACTGCATGTGAGTGCGCACCGATTCTTATTTGTAGATCTTATCACGCCTGAAATTCAGAAATCACACCGTTAATAAATATGGGGACATTTGGGGGAATTGTCTTGGGCTGACTTTTGTCAGAATATAATTTTTTTATTTTAAACAAATTGTGATTAATTAGAAAAAAAGGCATTTAGGCCAAAATAATAGGCTGGGGGTGGGGGAAGCCAAGTTTGAGAATATTTACCTATTTTAACTTGTGATTTTATTATTTATTTTTTTAATTTACCACAAGATGCTGTTTTATACCTTTTAGGTTTACTTGAAGAATGGGCCAGCTCTCCTTAAAGGGACACTGTAGTTACCAGAACAATTACAACTTATTGCATTTGTTCTGGTGAGTAGAATCATTACCTTCAGGCTTTTTGCTGTAAACACTGTCTTTTCAGAGAAAATGCAGTGTTTACATTACAGCCTAGTGATAACTTCACTGGCCACTCCTCAGACGGCTGTTAGAGGTGCTTCCTGGAGCAGTGCTGCACAGTGTGACTGACATTCAGTGTCTCCACCCTCTGCATGGAGACACTGAACTTTCCTCATAGAGATTCATTGATTCAATTAATCTCTATGAGGAGATGCTGATTGGCCAGGGCTGTGATTGAATCATGCTGGCTCTGCCCCTGATCTGCCTCCTTGTCAGTCTCAGCCAATCCTATGGGGAAGCATTGTGATTGGATCAGGCTACCACTTCTGATGATGTCAGCAGACTGCTTGTTTTTCTGAGACAAACAGCATGCAGAGCTACAGCTTCCGGCTTGAATACAGTAAGATTTTGCTATATTTATGGAGGCATGAGGGGCCCAGGGGGTTAGATGGTTTTAACACTACAGGGTCAGGAATAGATGTTTGTGTTCCTGACCCTACGGTGTTCCTTTAATGTCAAATCTTGCACTTACCCAGTATTTACTAGAAGTTGTGCACAAGTCCTTTTCAACCAGAGGAATTAATACAATTCCTGTTAATCTGCACACTAAGTAATTGATCCATCCGAGATTCACGTGTAGATTAAAAGGAAATTGATTTGTTAATCCACCTCTGATGCTCGCCTTAAAGACTGCTCTAGGGCTGCTCCTTTCTCCTAGACTTTCACCCAATTTCAACTCCTTAAAAAAATCTTTGAAAATGTACTTCTTCAGGAAACCGTATTAAACTGTGAACAGCTTTCCCTCCCCGCACCGATTCCTCTCCTGGAACTGTCATCAAAACCAAACACTAATCCCTCAATGAATACTATCCTAGCAACCTACTTTTCTACCCTACCCTTACCTATTGGGCCACATTACCCCACTCCCTCTAGAATGTAAGCTCGCTGAGCAGGGCCCTCAACCCCTCTGTTCCTGTGCTTCCAACTCGTCTGGTTACAAATACTTGTCTGTTAGTCCACCTATTGTACAGCGCTACAAAATCCTACAGCTGCAGCGCCCTAGGATCTGTGAGACAGACAATGAGCCTTCTTCCACCATGACCCATGCAGTTTATCCATCGACGTATATTAAAAGAAAACTGCCATGTTTATTACTGAAAATAAAAGGTAAAATGTCATGTAACCGTAGTATTAAAGAGACTCAGTTTTCCTGGCACTTCAGGACCCTGCAGTGTCCCTCTCCCTCCCACGTTGCTGAAGA